GGCGCGGGGGGCTCATCGCATCGCTGACCCGCATGGTTTACTTTTCCCAAGACACACGCATCCCCGACGACCTCCGCAAGCGCCACGATGCAGTCACGTTTGTCGATGCGGCGGCCCTGGCGGCAACTGCCGCTCCCCTGGCAACCTCCGGCGACGTATTTCGAGCCATCCAAGCTGCATACACTTCCACCGGGTTTGCCAACGAGTGGACGCTGCATCACCAAGGAGGCGGCACGGGCTACAAAAGCCGCGAATGGAAAGCGATCCCCACGTTGGAGGTAGGGGCTGCCCAAGTATTCCCCTTCGAATTTGGACAAGTTTGCACTGGCTGGGTATGTGTGAGTAGGATGGAATCGCCCCAAACCTAGCGTTTGCATGGAATCCGTCGATCGCGGGCACCAAGTCCGAAGACACGGTGTTGCTGGTCGAGGGTGGCGGCCGCATTGAAGTACTGACGGCTGACGGGGACTTGCCACAGGTCCGCCACACGATGGGCGGAATAACGTAGAGTCGCCCGGATGTTCTCCATATTCAAGTGGACGCAGCTGGCAATCCATTGCCAAAGTAGTCGTGAAAATTGCGTGGTTTGATTCAGTATTTGAATTGAAATTAAGAAAAGCTTATACATGCAAAGCTCCTGTGGTCGTGGCAACTAGCTGGGGTGAAAGGCGAGGTCGTCTTTTGATTCGGTAGTAGTCGTCACTCTTTCGTATTACATTGTACCATTTTCAAGGCCCGATACATTGCACGCCAGTGTGGACTTAGGCCAAGCTTTCAATACTAGTAGATATGGACCAGATGTTAAGAGTTTGCAACAGAGCTACTGAAGCGCTCCGCCTATTGAGGAGCCCAGGAGTGCTATGCAGTCTAGGCCGGTCAATGGATTGTGTGTATTAACCACTGAGCTATAGGACGAGCGATCTTCCAGCTCTGGGATTAATGCACTACAAACTATGTTTGTAAACCCCGTGATGGCAGTACCTTACCATAGTGGTTAAAGGCCACCACAAGGACCGATATCTTCACTGCTCTGTCGTCAGCCTCGCCTATAACTGCACGGATGTACAGCGCAGGTCCAATGCATAGAGGACCGTGAGACATTCCTCGAATATTGCATTTACCTCGTACCGTACGTTTGGGCGAAAGCGCTTTCCCGAAATTGAAGGAGCCTACTCCTCCGCCAATTCAAAACATTATTTACTACGGAATAGCCCAGTACATCCACGACAATGTCCTGCGTGTACTGGGCTAGGTTGCACACCAATACGAGGACTATTGCATGAGGAGTAGCTTCCTTCATTTTTGAATGCAGCATAGAGTTCATGATTTTCATCTCTTCAACACCATCCAACCAAAAACGAATTTCGACCGTATTATTTTACAGAATGTAATAATAACTTTTTCTGGTTGGACTGAAGTGGTACTTCGAATACATACAGGCAAACGGATATGATTGGCTTATTTAAACCAATCCTTAGTTTGGCCCAAAATATCTCAAGCATGATTGGATAGAACTGAAGAAACTTCGGTAGTACCGGTTAGGCCCAACGAGCATGTTGCTCGCTGTAATCGCATATTTTTATTGTGACTGAGAATAGTATTTCGACAATTTTAATTCGTATTTGCAATCATATTATACTCGGGCAATAGGAAATACTAACTGCACTTCAATACAAACCACAAGTCAGATAGAGATGAAATTTGACGCTAAACTGTTTAATACTAATCTGAAGTACTTCCCAAAATTTCAGCAAAATTGGAGTAGTATTGAGAAAGTTACGAATTTTCTGAAGCGCTTTCGCCCAAACGTACGGTACATTCCCTACACTTCGCTGTACTGTACACGGTATGTGAAGTGAACGAACTCCTGAGTGTTTGGCAACAGCGTGTACTTCCACGGCATCTTGGGCTACATCCGGCGCAGGCCCACCGACGCATATAATCTCGTTCAAGGGATCTCGCGCCATGAAGGCATAGTAGCTGCCTTCGCCCCTCATCTCATCTCTTCGAACATAGGATTTGTGTCATGTACGGCATTTGGTAAGATTAGATTGGACAAAGAAATGTCTTTTTGACCAATGAAACAGCGTACTTTCCACTTGCCGAAACCAGTCATTGCAGCCGTGCATGGGGAACTCAATCTGAGCCAATCAGAAGCCTTCGTTCCCAAAGTATAATAATAGCTTGGTTTGTGTATTGCCATGCAATGATTAAATAAAGTCGGGGGTGGCGGTTTTGATTGGTTGGTAGTCGGTGCCGCGTGAAGCATATTCGGGTCCAGTTTTAGTTTTCGGGGAACTAATCAGCACCAGTCGCGCACCATGGTACGACACGACAGCGAAGGAAGGGCCGCCGACCCATGGCCCCAGCAGGAGTGCACGTGATATTGATGCTTGTATGTGTAGCCGCCTAAAACCCAGCAAAAGACCAAGGAACAGAAGATGGCCGCCGCCATGGC